CTCAAACCATTGTGTATTTAACTCAAATCATTGTGTATTTAACTCAAATCATTGTGTATTTAACTCAATTTTTGCTACAATAGATTCCGTTCTTAAACTATGGGTCATCCTTAAACTTGGGGACTACCTATAATTGAAGACAGCTATCATATCTGGCCCCTTATTATTTTGGCTGGATGATATTCCAGATTGCCTACATCCTTTCTAAAATCCCCACAATATTCTACATGTGGTCTGATCAATGCAGACTAGAGCAACAATGATTCTTCTTGTTCTTGACACCATATTTCTGTTTTGATATAGCCAAGGATTGTATTTGAGTTTTTTTGTTTTTTTGTTTTGGCAACTGCATCACTCTCTTGGTTCATGTTCAACTTGTGACCCACCAAGACATACTGATTTTTTTTGCAGGGATTGCTGCCCAGTAGATATCCCCATCTTATATTCATTCCTATGATATTTCCTAACCAAAGAAAGGACTTTACATTTTTCTCTGCTGAAATTCACCTTATTGTTTTCTGCTTACTGTTCCAGCATCTCAAGTTCCTCTTGAATTCTAATACTGTCCTCTTCAGTTTTTTACTATCCTCCATATGGTCCTGTCATCTACACATTTGAAAAGCATAATTTACAACTCCTCACTGAAGTCACTTAAAAATACTGTACATTGAACAATTCAGAATCTGGAACAGAGCCTGCAGTATACCATTGAGGTGATTATTCAACCAGTTCTGCATCCATCAATTGGTAGCATAACCTAGACCACATTTTGCCATCCTCTATACTTGGATTTCATGGCAGATTTTGTCAAATGCTTTGCTGAAATCAAGATACGCTATTTCCACAGCCTTACCATGGGCAACTAATCTGGTCACTCTGTCAAAAAGGGAAATCAGATTCTGTTTGTCTTGTGTTTCTTCAATCTAAAAATGTGCCATTGCCATCTTAATTAATATGAACATACAGGTTATGTTCAATGTGCTAATCCAAAGGTGCTCTTCCGCTGAGAGAATTGCTTTTTCCATTTGACGTATTCATCCATTTCCCATATTTCTGCAGCCATTTCATCACCTCCCACAGGGTTCCAAAATGTCCCCCTGACTCTTTGGAGAAGATTTTCAGGGAGATAGGGATGAAGATGAAGCCCTAAACTGAGAGCCTGTTGGTCCATTCTGAGGGAGTCTTTAACTCAAAGATGTTTAGGCAATTAGTATGTCTTATACGCTAAGTCAAATGGAAAATTAAGATCTTCATCTAGAGCAAAGATGTTAATTAGAGCAACATCTGAAACTCCAAGTTGTAATTAGGCTGAATTGTTTTGTGAACTCTTTTCATATCAGGCATGGTCTGAAAGGCTGGGGTTTTCATTATGTTTACTAAAAGAATCTTTGTTTCGTACACATTGTACTTACAAGTGGTAGAAGCACTAGAGCATAGACTCTGTTCCAAAACAATATACTGTATATGTCATATCTGTATGGCACATGGTAGAAATTAGAATGTATGTTCTTCCTTCTGTTTGGCTTTTCAAAGAACTAATGGCCTCAGAATGGGAAGTTTGCCACAGACTTCAGTGGATTCTAGACCAGAACTATTATTTTGTGCTCTGTGTAAACAGAACTCTGCACCTCAAACACTATCACTGCAGAAAGCATGCTCTTTTGTAGTGAGTTCATTGGTACACTGGAGAAGAAGTCATGCAATAACAAATGCTTATAGGATCCCCCAGTAGCACCTCTGTTTATTATTAAGGCAGCACTGAACAGCATCAAGCAGTGCATGCTACTGGTGGAAATAAAATGACTTTTTTTGCATATTGGAGCCTCTGTAGCAAGAGGTCCCAAAGCCTCTGTTATTGCCCTTGCTCCTTGGCCAAAAGTAAGACTGCAACATCCAATATAGCAAAGATCTGCTAAGAACTCCCACCTCAAGAAATGTGATGGAACAGAATTATGAAGGCCAGGCTCAGGGAGAAAAACATTTTCTTACATCTCCTGAGGAGCGTGGGAGATACAAGAGG